CTAAAATGTAATATATTTATTTTAGCTTGCTATGTATAGGGATGCTATAGGATCCTTCGGAACTAGACTTGCCAGAAATTCTTGAACTATGATGGATCCAGGTTATCCCCTCGCTAATATTTTGTTTATTCATATATTTAATCTTATGAATTGTTCTTGCCCTTACAATGCTTTTTACATTTTAATTCAGCTGAATGGTGGGAGATATATGGTACTGATGCACCTCACCTAAAGAGGATAGCAATCAAGGTGCTCTCCCAGACATGTTCTGCTACCGGCTGTGAGCGCAACTGGAGTACGTTCCAATGGTTGCACACTACTAGGAGGAATCGACTCGCTTCTGAGAAGCTTCATAAACTAGTCTACGTTCATTATAATTTAAACTTCAGAGAGCGACAAATAAGAAGGAAGCTTGAAGACTATGGGCCGATAGACTTAGACACAATATTTGTCACAGACACAGCAGACCAATGGGTAGTAGAAGAGGAGGAGCCAGTGTTGCACAAGAGAGCGTTCATTGAGGTTATCGGTGATGAAGATATTGAAGAAAGTGATGAGCAGCATGAAAGAGGAAGCAGCCAGCCAATGTATCCACAATATGTCGGTGATATTGCACCTAATGAGGGAGAGTGGGAAGGGGGTCTAAGAGAAAATGAGAGAGATGATGATTCTGAGGCCACCCTATCCCAGTCATATTATTCACATATCGAGTCCCAACAGCAACAGTGTAGGGATGAGCACGACAGTGTAGGTGAGCATGAAGGATGGACAAGCTTCGGGGATTTTGGATTGGGAACACAACAAAACACTAACACTCAGGGATTTGAGAATAGTCAGACGCCCGCTAATATCGATGATTCGTTTTTAGATCGAATCAATGAATTGTCAAACGAATTCAATCAATGGCACCAGTGTGACCAAGAAGAACAACAACGTCGTCTATCATTTTATTTTTAGATCGTATGTTACTAATTTTATGCTTTATTGTAGTCCATGTATGTTGATATACTTATTCCATGATAATTCTATGTTTATCCTTTTGTGTGATGTAAATTAAATATTGAATGGCGGTTCATGCAGGGAAAGAACATATCAATATTCGCATATTCATTCAAAAACATGAAAATTCTTAATGGAGTACCCTCATTTCTTATTGAATTCCTAAAAAACAATATTTATAATGAATTTTAATAATTTTTTCGGATTTTTTTGAAACTTTATTCTGACCGATTCACCCGATTCCCAATCCGGATCGCCGATTCGCCGATTCGTCGATCCGGATCGGTTTTTTGAAAGCCCGATCCGGGTCACCGATCCGTTTTTTAAACCATTGTTTATGAGTTATGACTGCATCTCGCTTGCAATCACTAGGATTACGGTCTTCCTACGTAGGACTATTATTAGTGTGGAATGGCTTGAACTTTTTTTTTTGTCATGTCACAAATTGTGTATTTATAACACTCATATCCATATCAAATATAGATACATATAACATAGGAGCATACTATTTCATTCACGTCTTTTCCATCATTTAGATTTGGGAAACATAAATATTTCATTTGAACTTTAACTAAGAGTGTAACTCATCTTTTTTGGCTTTTTAATTTGCAAGTAGTTTGTTATATATAGTATACTTGGTGTCACATGTTTGTGTCGATTTCCATTTGAGTTTCCAAGTAAAGCATCCAAGTAAACCTTAATTGACCGTTGATCATGGTTCATGGACGATGAAAACCAACCTTCTCATAGATTTTATATGATAGCTCTAAGTGAGTTTTCCCATTCTTTGTCCAATTCTTTTGCTATTTTTGCCATGAAATTAAGTTTGAAAGATGTATCACTGACTAGATGAAACCAACGGCTCAGATCTTTGATGGCTGTGAAAAGATTGCACGAGAACGGCTACCAGAACTTGGGTTGGCTTGCCGGAGGTTTCAACCGGACCATGGACACAGATTTCCCGGTAGTTGTGGGGGCAACAAAACTGCAGTATGCTACTATAGGTGGTGCGTCTTACTATTTCCTTCAATTGCTGTTGCTTTTTCAATCAATCGGAAAATAATGGGATTAACATCTCTTGTATTCAACTAATATCTATGTGCACAATCTAGGCATTTCTTTCCACCAAGGCTATTCATTTGTTTGTGTTGGCACCAATTATATCGGATCCCTAGGTTTTTAATACAATGCTTAAAGCCTTAAATATGTAGAGTCATTGTGGTTGTAATCCACGAAGTAAAGTATGAAAGAAAAACTAATGTGATATTACCGAGGGATATACTCACCCAACAAGATAACACATATCATAAGAGCGGCCATGTGTATCTCTTGAGGACACATGACAACTATCTCACTTACTTAAATATCTTTCCTTTAAAAGTACTTTTTTATAAGCGGGTAAATAAATAAAAAGAGTTATATTAAAAAACGTTTGGGCCTAAATATTTTTCAAACATTAATCTCTCTAACAATTTGCGTGATCCTAAATGGTGTGATAATTGGAATTTAAAATTTTCATACAACAAGGATCAAGGCGCATCTTGAAATACCAAGGAGTATCAATCTGGATAACAAGGGTTCACAATTCGGACCTAGTTCGGGTCCGTGTTGGCTCAAAGTCAATTGGACCCAAACTTGACTCATTGGATTGGGTTGGATCAGGTATGAATCTATAAAAAGAAAATATATAAGAATTATTTTACGTATTTCATACTACATAGTTAATATTATTTATATGTAACATTATTTATATGTAATTTATACTAATATGTTCAGTCGGGTGGGCCTCGACACAGATCCAACTCGATCCGATAGGATCCAAGCTGGACTCGAACCCAGACCCGGTCGGATCAAGCGGACCCAGACCTAACCCAGACTTGGTTAGGCCAAACACGGCTTATTTTTCACAAAAGTCTCTCTCTCATTTACGGCACTAACTGTCAACAATGAAAAAAAAAATGGTCGAATAGAAGAGAGTGAAACCTTCTCCGTAAGTGTTTTATAGGTTTTGGGGGAGTAACAAAAGAGGGGGAGATTTTCTTATCTCTTGCGATGAGATATTCTTGTTGTTCTTATCTCTTGCGATAAGATAATTTTATTTTCCGACCATGTTCTATTTAAACTTTATTCAATCCCAATTTCCCAGGTTAAGAGGTATTTATAAATCATGACGCACATGCCTAAGATATATATGGTTTTAATATTGAAATTGAGAGTTTTGAACCGATCTTGTAGGAGAAAAAATTGGGTTGGAATTATCAGATCTTAACAAGCAATTGGGCTACAAAAATTTCTCGTATTTTGGGGACAAACGTTTCACCCCATAATAAAAGGGAATATGAAACTAAACATGTGGGATACCATTTGTTTTTTATAAAGAAAATGGTTTGATGGGGTGCAGCGCTATTAAAATAAGTAAAGCCTCACCTCGGAACTCATCGAAAATTGCATTTCAAGTGTTGGAAAACCTTTACCTCCATCATTTCAGTGTGAATATTATGGTTGTGAAGAAAAATTAGGATTTCAAGCTCAAAAACCAGCCTGTGGATCTGTATATTTTTGTAGTTTCAAAATTTATTGTCGGTGTTAGAAATTGACTTTAAAGCTTTCATGAAAATTTCCGTTTTTTTAGTTTCAAATTTTATTGCTAAAAGTGCTTTTAAGACGAGGATATGAGGTGAGGCGTTATTTTGTTTTTATAAAGCCTATGGCTTATAGAAATTTTTAGTTTCAAATTTTATTGTCAGAAATTGATTTAGAGCTATCATGACGATTTCTGTTGCCGAAAGTGCTCTTCGGATGAAGATATGAGGTGAAGCTTTATTTTGTTTTTATAAAGCCTAAGCCTTATAGAAACTTTATAAACTTTAACACCGATCCAAGCGGTATTATCTTAAAATAATATTTTTGGGGCAAGCTTTCTATGCTTCCCCTACAACATAAAACTTATATACTTCCCTTTATCCAACCGTCCATTCTGAATGGAGGGTTAAGATTGCCCCAATCACAATGTCACGTCTCTACATTATTTTATTTTTATTTTTTTTTCTACAAACTATTTTAACACCAAATTCTATACTTCTAATCCTCTATTAAACTCACACCAGCGAAAAATATAAAAAAATATTTTCAATAAAATAAAATAATCAAAATACCCCTGAAAGTTTTAAGGGGTATTTTGGTCATTACATTTTATCGAAAAATTATTTTTAATATTTTTTATAGGTGTTCCCCAATGAGAAGATGACACGTGCCAAAATTTATATTCATGCCATTTGTATAAAAAAAAACTAAAAATAAAATACTTTGAGACCGGATCTAATAAATGGTGAGTGATTCTCTTGAACAAAATTAGATGGCTGGATGGTAAAGGAAGCATAAATCTTCTGTAGAAAAAAAAGTAAAAAAAAAAAATTTATATTTTTGTGGTCCAATTCATAAGAAAAAATACATTTCCAAAAAACACATTTGGCCTACCCAAATTGAGAATCGTTGTGGACGAACGCCGTTTTTGTCCCTAGAGACCCAGGTTCGTTATATGATACAAGCTCTATGGTCCCACACCACGTATTTAAAACACCAACGTTAACCACAGACCCATCACTTTATTCATCATTGACCCTCGCTTGCCTAGCCGATGTGGGACTAAATAGAGAATGCCCTGGTAAAATAACAAAACAAAAAGTGCACAAGATTTAATATACTTTGTCTATCTAAAACTCAAACTTTGGGATAGTTTTTCTCTAAAAGCTTTACAATAGTTTCTCTCTAAAATTTGATATGGTTTTTTTTAAACAAATTTTAATGTACTTTCTCTTCAAAATTTAAAATTTGAAAATATATATCTAAAAATTGAGATAGCTTCTCTCTCTAAAATTTCCAAGTACTTCTCTCTCTAAAATTTAATATAATTTCTCTCTCTAAAATTTTAAGATACTCTCACTCGAAAACTTAAAATTTGAGATAGTTTCCCTATCTAATAATTTTGAGATAGTTTCTCTCTCTAAAATTTTTTTAAGTAATTTCTGATATGATATAGCTTTTTAGGTGTTTAGGAAGTCAAAATTGCAGTTTTTTTTTCAATTATTTTTTAAACGATTACTATAAATTTCATTCAAAGAAAGGGTGTAAGCACCAACGATGATTGGTGTACACCACCCTTTGTTAATACTTCAACTTCAACATTAGTCTCCCTAAAATAATTAAATAGCTCAAAGGAGCCACTAATTAAAATAAAAAGAACTTCATCAAAAATGCTGCTTAATCTCCATGTTGATTTCGATTTTCCGTTTGCCCAAGCAATGACATTGCTTGCATCACCTTATGGCCCTTAAAGTATTTTATTAGTTTTGAACTCTCCAATAGAGCTCTTGTCATACGAACTCCCATCAAAATTCAGTTTTACACAATTTTCAAATGGAGGAGACCAATTTACGTTTCTTGCTCGTATATCAATATTTGGCTTAACAACTTCAGTTGGGTTCTAAAAAATCTGAGATTTGAGAACAAACTTACTTTCCTTATGAATTGAAAACCATTCAGTTGCCGATGCTAAAATGTTCGATTTAAAACTATCAGTCTCAAATTGTACCCCTTTAAATGTTCTCCTATTTTCTCTCTCCAAACTTTTCATAAGGTGCTAAACCATAATGATCTCCATAGTATGTTCCAATCTCCAGCACCAGCACCAGCACCAGTGCCACAGCTTTTGAGTAAAAGGGCAATGTAGAAGAAGGTGGTCCACGCTTTAATTGTCTCTCAAGCAAAGTCCACAAACATCAACTATTATGATTCCCCTATTATGGAGATTGCCCACAACAGGCAACTTCTTTTGACACGCCAACCACAAAAATAATTGGATTGGATCTTCAATGGCACCTACACTTTCCAAATTTTGCCTAGTTTTTTTTATCTAAAATTCTGCAACAATCTATAGATTGATCCGACTGAAAAATACCCCGAAGGTGTAAGTTCCCGCACCAAACAGTCATCTTTAGTAGGTGCATAGTATAAATTATACAACAAATCAATGAGCAACTAAAACTCATAAATGAAAGAGTTTGCAACCCTCCTGTGTCTATAAATAATATTCCAAGAAGAATTAGTAGAATCAACCCCAAGAAGAATTAGTAGAATCAAAACAGAATAATGTTTGATCGACCTTACCGACCACCTTATTATAATGTCGAAGCTAAACAGGTCAACAACCATGTATTCCATTCCAAATGCTTGAAAAACTAACTTAGATCTAGGGATTTTAATTAGGCCAGTCAAGACATCCACTCCGTAGTTCTCTTTTAACATTTCACCTCACAATCCTCCTTGATGAGGACGGAAATGCCACCACTACTTTGTCAAAATAGGCTAGTGTTCATCACTACTTTGTCAATATGTTAGTGTTCATCAATCTTAGCTTCTTAATCCCCAATCCACCATCCTTCAAAGAGGCACCTACCCGTTCCCATTTCACAAGCTTTAGTTTTTTCTCACTTCCCACATTGCCTTATAAACAAGATATCATTGTATTTTTCAAAATTTTGATGACCTGCTTAAACACAAGTGTTCATGGATCTGCAAGATTTGTACCATTTTTTTTTAAGCTTCGAATTTCATAGTTGGTGTTGAAAATTAGTTTTAGAGCCATCATGGAGATTTCCAATGCCTAAAATACTCTCCAAATGAGGATTCAAGTTAAGGCTTTACTCTGTTTTCATAAAGCCTAGTCTTTATAGAAACTGCATCTTTTTCCAAATCCCACCATCGAAATACAAAAAATTTAATATCTAAGTCACGTTTACTTCTTAGTTATACTAATTTATTCATTATTTTTTAGGATGATGGGAAATCCAAATATAGGTTAATTTTGAACTGTCTTTATTTTTTACAAGAGTACTTAATTTTATTAATTGAGTGGTCCCATTACAAACATATAAAGATTAAAACAAAATATATGAAACTACTAAAGAATTTGACAGAGCTCCCTTCTTGGCCAAATCATCAGCCATGGAATTTGCCTCCTTATACACATTGTAGGGTTCTCAAGAAACGCTAGCTCATGGATCCAAGAATCCAATACTGGGATCCTACCCAAGATTGTGTATATGATTGGCTAAATATAAAGTAGTTGAATATAATTATAAATTGAATGTGAGAAATAAAGCAAACATAAAAAAACACATCACCACAACACATGATTTACATTGTTTGCCCCATAGGGTTACATCCACGGCCTCGATAAGTAGAAATCTATTATCACAATGAAAATTACAGTTTTCGGTTACAAGAGATATACATCTTTTTAGAAATCGATAAAAGACCATTACCGATCTTTTCTTCTAAACTCACTCTCCCAACCAAACACCAGTGTCTTTTTCATCGTAATACTGCTGCTAGAAAGATAACCTCAAGAGGAACTGAGAGCTTTTCTTTATTTAGAAGTAGAATCCTTACAAATAAAAAACTCATGAGAATAACGCTTCTCACTAGGAGGCTATGTCTCTCTCTTGGAGACCAATCTCCATATTTGGAGATCCATTCACATAACCCCCAAAAGGGTGACTCTCAAAAGGATGATATTATGTCCTACTTGTTTATCTTTTATAGAGACCACCTCGAGCTTTTTTTTTGCTCCTCAAGAAATCCCTTCTCTTTTTCCCTTAATACCTTTAATATTTTAATAAAACATAGGTATAGTGATTTTGACTATCACCAAACCAATTTTGACTATCACCAAACCTAACACACATGATTAAAAGTAAGTACAATTCCATCGCCAGATCCATAACTTGCATCCAAATGTATCTAAGGTCCCACATAGGTTCAAATTACATTAATGGATACCATTTAAGGAATCACCTTCTACAGCCAAAGAATTACTCAAATTTTAGGTTATGTAGTGATCTAGAATTGAATTGTAGTGTTCTAAAATTGAATGAGAGATGTTTTAAGGGAAATATGGTGTCCAAACCTCCAACTTGTCATATATCGAAACCCTGCAATAGACTTTCAACCAAATAATTTTTCCAATAAAGTATCTAAACTTTTGTCCCTAATATCCAATGCCGCCGGAACTCTCTCTCTCTCTCTAAGTAAATCCCATGCTCAAAGTAATTCAAAGCCCACAATCAAATAACACAAGATGCTGCAAATATTATTGTCCCCTTACTCTCCCCAATAAACAAGACTTACCATTTCATTAAAGCATTCAAAAGGTTTAGAATGTCTATATACATCCAACCAATATTGTTGGATGTGATCACCTTAGCGCAGCAAATAAATGAATGCATTACATATTGACTCGGTTAAAGTAGTAGCATATGGTTAGATTGACAGCTGCGGCTCAATTCCTACAAAAGGGTATGGCGCCTCACCACATTAACTCACCCAAAAAAAAATCAGCTGCCCAAAAGGTGCAGTTTTTATAGAGCTGAGGCTCTAAACAATCAAAGTATAACACACCTTCAAATAGTGTTGAGAAATGTAGTTTTAATATTGAAAATCTTTGTGATAGCCTTAAAATATATTTTTATTTTTAATTATAAAATTTAAAGCTTCAAATGGTGTTAAAAAATGTAGTTTCAATACTGAAAATCTTTGTGATAGCCTTAAAATATATTTTTATCTTTAATTATAAAATTTAAAGCTTAAAAAACAATGTAGATCGAGCAGATCTATTAAAAATTGAAAATCTTGAAAAGTGACGGCCCAAAAACGCGTTACAAGATGAACTATTTTCAAAACTTGGAATCTATTTTTTTCTCATGTCCATGCATCTGGATGTCGAGATGATCAATTTGAGGATATTAGGGCATCAAAACAACCTATTCTCATGAAGTTTTTCAGGTAGGTTCTAATTTGATTGTTTAGAGCCTCGGCTCTATATAAACTTTTTCCTTTACGTAAAAAATAATGATTTATGCACCTTCAAAAGTGATGTTGTTTGATCCAAATTTTAAAATATCCGAGCTTTTCATTCTAATGATAAAAAAAAAACGCAACCCAGTTCGGAAAAAGTGAAACATTATTTCAATTATTCATTATCCGCCGAAAGAAATTCAAGACCAAATTTCTCACAAATAACATTGAGTTCTATGCTCCTATTAAAATAAGAAAGAACAAAGAACAGTCCATTGTCCGCCTCAAAAAGAAAGAAATTCAAGACCAAACCTCTCACAAATAACATTGAATTTCATGATCATATTAAAAAAATGATAGGACCCCAGAAAAGTATAAACTTAAACAACCCAGAATAGAACAGTACAAACTTCAAAAGTGTAAAGAATGAAGAATGTTGATGCGAATTATAGTCCACCCCAACAAAATAGTAGAGAAAATTAACACAAATATCACGTTAAACTTTTAGCTCATCAATGTCGCCATGCAGAACCTACAAAGATCAGTCCCCTCGAACTCCTCAGCTCAGCTGTGGTCGATTTTCAGAGCCTTGATAGAAAAAGCTCCGGTACATTTTCAGCTCCTTGGTAGAAAAAGAGGGGAAACGCAGAACAAGACTAAAGAGATGAAGGCCCTTTTTACCACTAAATTTCCAGATGATACCGGCAAATTCCAGCCATGAAATTGCTCACCCAAAAATCTCCAGACTAGACCTTGTTTTTTCCTATCAAATTCCGGACTCTTATCAGATTTCGGAGTCCTATCAACTTTCCTGGTTAGAATAGGCTTCCGAAGAATCAACAAAAAAAATTCTGAGTCCTATCACGAGTCAGGTAACTTTCCTGTTCAGAATAAGCCTCCAACGAATCAACGAAACCTTTTTGTTGTTTTTCCCTCTCAAGTTCGGGAATCCTATCAAATTCCGGATTCCTATCCCAAGACCATTCACCCTTATAACTTCTCCGCCAAGAATTAGAGATAGAACCAGAAGAAAAACATGAATTTGGCGCTTTTTCGATATGGAGGGGGTTTGGATCCATCTTTTCTTGCACCTGTTAAAAACAACGCAAGGATACATAGTGCCTTTTTCTTTCTCTGCAGAGAAAAGTTGTTAAAAACAAAGCAAGGATATACAGTGCCTTTTTCTTTCTCTGCAGAGAAAAGTTAATAAAAAAAGATTCAAAGAAAAAAGGAAAAGAAAGGAAAAGTATGATCCGTTAAACTTACGATTAAATCGTCTGGCTTGGTAGGCGCCATGGTTGAATCTTTTTCGAGTGATGAACAGCATAAATAACGCATAAATTTAGTCTTGAGTTTGGGCTTCGTCATGGCTGCCATGGAAGCTTCAAGCAAGAGGCGTCCTATTTGATGCGTTTACACAGGTGGTTTAAAAAATAGATCGGTGATCCGGATCGAACATCCCAAAAATCGATTTGGATCGGTAAATCAGCAATCCGGATCAGGAATTGGGCCAAATCACTCGGATTAAACCTTAAAAAAATTCAAAAAAAATTATTAAAATTCATTATAAATGTTGTTTTTAGGAATCCAATAAAAAATGGGGTACTATATTATTAACTTTCATTGTTTTCATCAATTTATGAATATTGAGATGTTCTTTTCCTGTATGAACTTATGTTGACCATTAAATTTACGTCACACAAAAGAAATCATAGAATTATCATGGATTAAGTATATAATTATATATAGACTACAATAAAAAGTTGACTAAATTGATGAAAAATTGGCCACTAAAATATCTATTATCATATTTGAAAGAGGGTTTTAATTTTATTTTGCTACAACATATTATGTTATGAATCATGTATTTTCTCTTTTACTTTTTTTTTCTTTTACGATATATTTACATGTTTGTAGTTAAAATATTGATTTTTTTGGTGATTTGTTGATTTTTTTTCTCACTTGGACGATGAAATTGAGCATATATCGTATTCTTTCATGAATAATTGATTCTTTTTTTATACAATGTGTCTTATTTTGACATTCTATTTTTTTTGTTTTAGTTTATTTGACAAATAATTGACTAGGTGATATATTAATGGGTTAAGTATTAGGTGAAAATGAAACTGAAGTCTTAAAATGTCATATATATATATATACATATATAATTTTTTTTTTTTTAGAAAGGTCAACATTCTTATATATTCAGTTATTCATTTAAGTCTTATTGTAAAGTAATAGTTAATGTCTTATGCTTAAGGTGGGGGAGGGTTTTGATTTTGGTGAGGGTACCCTGTCCCTAGGCGCCCGCCTAGGCAGCCAGGCACCCAAACTGCCTAGGTGCCCAAATCCCTTTTTTTTTAACATTATTTCCCATATGGTATCACATGAGTAAAAATGGGTTCAAGCTCCTATGTGGATTTTGCAAAGCATGCCATGAGGGAAGCAAGTGCTTTATTTAGTAAACTAATTAATGTTGATTTCACTCAAATAGAATAACATACCACATACATGGATGAAGCTTGTAACTTGTTTTAGATGATAGCAGAGAAGCTTATAATGCAAAATGATGTTACTTTTTTAGTTTCACTCATGACTTAATGAGTTTTGGGATTGAAATGGGTTAGGGAAAGCAACTATGAGGATTCAAAATATCATTATCATTATCATCCGAGCCTTATCCCAACTATTTGGAGCCATGAGTATTTTGAACTCTTCAAGTATATTTATTTTTCCAACATATAGGACTGAATCCGATATATGGGAAAAATGAATATACTTGAACTCAAACATTCTGCCCCATAAAGCAATGTTGTTCTCACAACTGTTCATATAGAACTCCCCAATCATGGACAGGAAAAAAATTGAATAATGTTTTTCAGTTATGCGATCACCAATCTGTCTAATGAATCAACATGAATTCTGTGTGGACTTCTCATTATCAGTCCCATGCAAATTATTCATCACACAAAGCAATGACATAGACATCCCAAAACAATAAAAATACTACAAAGAAAAGCCATTCACAGAGGAAAAGCATATTACAACTAAATATGAAACAATACATGAAAAGGCCCATTGAAATCATGCACCTTGGAGAGACAGCAGCATCCACCAAAATAGGAAATAACCCAAAGATGGGTAGCGCTTTTTCTCCATCACAGTGCATCATTTCAAGGGAAGGTGATGCCCCAATGGACTATCGTAAAAACCACTTTCCTTTGAATTGTGGTTTTGCTTTCCATAGACATAATGCAGGCATAAGTTAGTAGAATTAACAAATTAGTGAGCAGCATAAGTTAGTAGAATTCTTCATTAGTGAGCCGCATTAGAGGACCAGCCAGTCCAATTGAAATCCTTAAGAATGACGACCAAGTAAAAATCACTCAGTATACCGCACATCACATATTCCCTTGTTTGTTGCAAAGATAACAATGGGCGACAGTGCTCTTCAAAGCACCATTCAGGTAAGAAAAGCATTCCATATCCAGCATGTGGACCTAAAATACGTTTTGAAAAAGCATATGAACAGACGACAATGAAAACATATCATGTGTCCGCATAGATGAAAAGTGAATGCATGCATAAAACATGGGAATACCTTACTATAGATACATCGCTTACTTGCTTGTACATGAAATATAGAATTATAAGGCATTATAGCAATACAAACCATAAATTATCTTAATTAACCAAAAAAAAAAACCATAAATTATCTTTCATTTTATACTGAACCATAATTATACTGGCATGCTGTTTGGAAATACTTTTGCAAAGAAGCATAGCACAATCAGGCCATGGCTTGCAATAGACAATTCAATATCAGCCCTAAATCATTCCTTATTTTACATTCCATGTCCATAAAAAATAAATTTGTGTAAATACACTGATTGAGGAGGAGAAAAAAATTAATATATTACTTCATGGCTTCGGAGTTTTGTATGACTGAAGCACTAATGATCACAATTCTTTAATGAACAAACACTGGAATTCAATTAAATAAGTAGTGTAATAGAAAAACCATACCTGAAATGTTGCACATGCACATCACAGTATGTGCAGAACCACAGGTTACCAAAGATCGTTTTTCAAAGAGCCTTCCATATAAGAGAAGCCGAGTTTTAACCTTGTGGGGTTTTCCACTAATCATGAAGCACATTCCACCTAGGTGAAGTTTCACTGGGAAGACAATTTGAGGCAGCTCAATCAAGTTTTAATCTTTTCATTCAGAACAACGCGTGTTATCGAATTTGTCAGGTATATTCAATTTTTCCAATATATATGTTGAGTCCTCATACTTGCTTTTTCTAAAGCATCCTCAACCCTGATTTTCTCTAAACCATAGGAGAACACTCTAAAAGTAACATCATCTGGCATTATAAACTTCTCTTCCATCAAATTTAACAAGCTACAAACTTCATCCATGTTTCCGTCCTTACAGAATCCATGTATAAGTGTATGATATATTATCCTATCGGGAGTCAAACAAGCATCGATCATTTTACCAAATAAAGCACTTGCTTCCACCATATGGCCTGCTTTGCAAGCCTATTAAGGAGCGCCCTACAAGTAATAACACCTGGCTTGAATCCCTTTTCACTCATGTGACACCATATAAGAAAGGCTTCATTGAATTTCCCTCTTTAGAAGACCCATCTATGATAGTAGTATATGTGAACTCGTCAGGAGAGAAACCCCTTTAGTTCTCTTGATTCTTTCTTATAACCTCTTTTGATAAGCCCATTTATCAGCATGTTATAGGTTGTAGTATCCGGTTCTATATTTGCAGAATGCATGAAGTCGAGCAATTCAAACGCCTTCTGAAAATCCCCCTCTTTGCTGCGCCCATCAATTAATGCATTATATGTGACAATATCTGGGAGAAAACCATCCTCTCTCATCCTTAAAAATATGTATTCTGCATCTGTAATCTCCTCAGCGTGGCAATTGCCATCAATCAGAGCAGTATAAGTAACAATAAATGGTTTCAGTCTTTTCTTTAACATTTCACAAAAATATCTAAGAGCTTGGACGGTATTTCTTATTCTACAATAACCTCTAATAATGGAAGTGTAGCTAACACAATCAGGAAGCAAACCAAAATCACACATTTCTCTAAAGAACTCTATAGCCTGTACCAGATCACCATCTTTGCATACCCTAGAGACAAAACTGTTATATACAAATATGTCAGGGGTGTAACCATAACTTTTTAAGAGATTCATGGCTTCCTACAACTTACCCACATTGCAATATCCATCTATAACTGCAGATAATGAAAGGAAATCAGGAGAAACTCCCCCTAAAACTCATTTTATATAAGAGAGAATGAACTTCTTTTATGCTACCATTTTTTAATAGAGCATTAATTATCATTGTGTAGGCTACAACATCAGGCTTACACCCATTAATCTCCATGGTCAAAAGTAAGTTCTGAGCACTTACCAGATCACCTCTGCCACAAAATTCATAGATAAATAGACTAAAAAGAATGATCTTCGGCTCAATCCCCTGGCTTTGTAGGTCCATAAACACTTCCCAAGCTAATTCAAACTGTTTCAAATTCAAGAGCTTACTGATAAGAGTATTGTACACTCGAGTTGTGGGATATAAGCCTAGAAGCTTCATTTGGAAAGTATCATCTACCATGTTTTCCTGCAAATAACAATGAACTGCCATGCTAAGCACAGTTGTAGAAGTTTTTCTATCCCTTCGAGTAGGCATCAAAAATTTCACAAGGTCCTCCCCCACTTGACCCAACAAGATAAATTAAAAATTCAGTTGCTATATGGTTAAATTTTGCAGAGACCAGAATGTTTATCAATGTACATACAGACCCAGTTATTTTTTTCTCTCTAACCATCTAAACATATAGAGAGACAATCGAGCATCCCGACTCCCTTCAAACACATCATTTAGAAGACGAGAAACACTCCAAGGGCTCATATCAAACCTTGATACATCGGAACAAACTGAATTCCACCCACATTTCCGAATAATTAAAGATATCCTCTCTGCAAAATCCACATTTTCCTTTATGGGTTTTACTTCTTGTCTTCTGAAAAACAATAAATTCTCACAAATGGGTTCATCGGAAGTCATATGTTCTCTCTCTAAAGAACACAGTAACCCCAAGTTTCAGATTGATATGAACTTTGCAAAGCTCTTTCTCGCTTCTCGCACTAAAATTGAGCCCCTCAAAGCTGTGACTGAAGACTGAAAAGGAAAATGCCATAGAAGAACAACATTAAAAAAGAAACAATAAAAACCACCAATATACAATCGATCTCAGGCTGCCTCCCACTCTCATCTACCTAATCTTTATTTCGTCTCTACTCCCTGCGCTCTTGCTCTCTCTCTCAATCCCCCTTCTATTTCTCTTTAAGCTCTAGCAATCCATGACCCTTCCAACCCAGCTCTTATTTTATTTCACCCTCTCTCTCTCCCCATTCTACCACTCCCCCTCTCCTCGTGGCCATGTCCATATCACATTCGTCTGAAGCAAGGAAGTTCGCCATTATCAATCCCTCAACATAACTCCTTCGAAGTTCGTCTGGGCTTCGAACTGAGCCGCTTCAGCACCCAAAAGTTCACATTCGATCCCCTTGGAAGTTTTTCCTTGTTCAATTGCCTCGCTTATAAAAACTGTTTTTCTTTATTTTTTCTCTCCCCCTTTGTCTTGAGCGCCCAAGCTTGCGGGTGGGTGGTGGGCAAGCTCGAGCTTGCCACTGCGCGCGTATGTCGAGCCGAAGTTCCTAAGTGCCGTGTACGCGTGGCGCGTGAGTTTGCTTCTTCACCGGGCCACTCTGCAATCTTAAATCTTATCTTTGAACTATTTTTGTTTGGGTGCAACTTTAAACAATCCAATCAAGGCCCTGCTCCAAAATTTAGCATAACATGTAATTTGAGTGTTAAAATTTATTAAAATTATTTGAAAATCTATTATATCTAGCTATAAAATTTTAAACTTCAAAAATAGTTAAAATTAATTAGATCTACAAATATATAAAAATCTTAAAAATAAATGGTTTAGATAATGTGTTGCAATATGTACTATTTATGGTGACTCAAAATCTATTTTTTTTCATATTCATACATCTCGATGTCGAGATGATCAATTAGAGGGCTTTTCAACATTAAAACAACCTTTTCTGATGGATTTTTGAGGTGCATCTCTAATTCTATATTTTAAGGTTGCATTCTTATATAAACTTTTTGTTTTGAAAAAATTATATATAAAGGCTAGGCTCTAAACAATCAACCTAGAGCTGGGGCCTTCATTCTCACACCAAAAGGGTAGGGGCCCAAATCCCCAATGACTTCCTTCTTTTTTTTCCTTTTTTTTTTTAGAGCAGGGCTCTAAACAATCAATTTAAGGCACACCTAAATACCTGAAAAATTCACTAAAAGATATTGTTTTGAAGCCCAAAAATCCTCAAATTGATCATCTCGACCTCAAGATGTATGAACATTAAAAAAAATTAGATCTTAAGTCTTAGAAATAGTGCATCGTGTAATGTATTTTGGGACAGTCAATTTTCAAGATTTTCAAGTGTTCATAGATTGCTTGATCTATGTTACTTTTGAAGTTTTAAATTTTATAATTAGAGATGAAAATAAATTTTCAGGCCATCAAAAAGATTTCTAGTATTGAACATCTTTTGACACTATTTGAGGGTGCATCTTACTTTGATTGTTGGATAAAGTTTATATAAAGGGGAGGATCTAAACAATCAATTTAGGGAGCACCTCAAAAATTCACTAAAAAATGTTGTTTTGAAGTCCAAAAATCCTCAAATTGATCATCTCAAATGCAAGATGTATGAATATAAGAAAAAACAGATTTAAAGTATTAGAAATAGTCCATCTTGTAATGCATTTTTTTACCATCAATTTTCAAGATGTTTGAATGTTTATAGATTTGCTTCATTTACACTACTTTTCAAGTTTTATAATTAGAGATGAAAATAAAATTTCAGGATATCAAAAAGATTTTATGTATAGAAACAACATCTTTCTACACTATTCGAAGGTGCGTCTTCTTTGAATGTTTAAAGCCACAGCCTTATACAAACCACACCCATTACAAATAAGATAAAAGTTTATATAGAACCAGGCTCTAAACAATCAAATTTGAGCCTACCTCCAAACTTTCACTAGAAGAGGTTGTTTTAATGCCCAAATATCTTTAAATTGATCATCTTGACATCGAGATACATGGACACGAGAAAAAAATGGATTTCAAGTTTTGAAAATAGTGTATTTTGTAATGCATTTTTTGACCGTCAATTTTAAGATTTTCAAGTTTTCATAGATCTGTCGATCTATACTATTTTTGAAGCTTTAAACTTTATATATAAATATGAAAATATATTTTAAGGCTATCACAAAGATTTCCACTATTGAAACCACATTTCTCATCGCTATTTGAAGGTAGGCTATAATTTGATTGTTTGGAACCTAGGCTTTATACAAACCACACCCATATAATAATATTATCTATAGTATATTAGATTTAGATAAAAGTAATTTTCATAAAAAAAAATTTGTCAACAAACATGCTTTAAAGAAATATTATTTTCAAGCAAGGCTTTAAAAATGGATCCACGATCAAGATCGCCTCTCTAGATTTTCGATGTGAAATGGATCGGTGATCCAGATTCACAAACTAGATATTCAACAATTTAAAAATTTAGGAAGTGAGGCCGGTTCTCTGACAGAATTTACCGATTTTATTAGCAAACCAGCCAGAATCGGCCGTTTTATTTTGGGAGCCAGTCGGTTTTTGAAATTTTACGGAACCAATTTGGAGCTTACAATTCCCAATCCAAATTTGCCGGTTTTGACATTTTTTAAAACTTTGTTTTAAAGGCTCCATAATTATGTTTTGGAATTCTTATCGTGTTGATCAAAGCAATAACTTATAAAAGTTTTGGATCCAAACTCCATCTACAAGTTGAATCTAAAAAGTTGATGCACTCGAATTGGTGCATCGGAGGCCACACCGAACTGCTCAAGGGATACCCTTGTCATGCCATGAAGTTAGAACTCTAATTCATCAAACAGTACTTCTCCCTAAAACAATAATGGACATTTTTCTCTAATAACCTCCGAAAAATATCTCCATTATCAGATCTAACCTTACCCTCGGCTGTATAAGTAGCTTCTCTCCTCTATCTGAGTTTCATCGTCAACAAGCTTTTCTTCGCTTTCGATCATAGTATTTGGCGTTTCTTTTCATTCTATGTTCAAGGTATTTTCCTTCTACAAGCAAGGTTTTTTCTGTTTCGCCATGGCTTTCTTCATTTTCTCCTTGATAGCTGATTTATGGCTTTTAACTCTCTGGGTTATTCTGAGTTTTTAGATCTCTATATCAATGCTATGCGATTGTGCTACGGTTTTTGCGTGTTTTCATACCATGGATTATGCGATCATGTCTTTAATCCGTTTAGGGTTTTGAGGGGTACCATTTTATCTTGATGAAGGGACATGGTTAGGTTCTGTTGGGTTTCGGCTGTGTATTCTGCAGATTATTGCCTTCTCAAATGTAAATTGTCAAGTTTCAGATGCTCATTAGGGCTTTTGTGAATTCGTGCATGCTTTTGTATGTTGTTGTAGTTAGATATGTTAATTTGATCTACCTCTTCTAATGGAACTGATTTGTGATCTATTGGAGCCTTTCTGCAGCCATCTATTGGGTTGATCTCAAAATTTTCCTTAAAGGCTTAAATAATCAGAATTCAACAAATATTAGAACCCACCTTAAAGAGCTAATTGACCTCCAATCGACCCAATTGCTCTCTTTATCAGTGAGTGTGCATGTAATTTCAATATATATTAACAACATTTGCTATAAGTAAATCAAAAGAAATATCTTGGTAAAATTCATTTGGCTTATAAAATAATTTTCAACAATCGAATTAAAAAAAAATTGAGATCGTGTGATATACGAGAACAACACATGCAAGAAATTCATAAGGTTACGTTTGTTTTGCGCGTCAATATGAAAGAGATTCATATGGCCCAAACAAATACGTTTGACAGAGCATATTTCTTGATACAAAAAACCTTCTTATCACTGTAGAAATCCCGTGTTTGATACCAGGAAGTTTTTTGTCACGGGATTGCTTTTGGTGCACTACCCTTTCAATGCAGAAAATAGAGAATTGTCTTGAAGATAAGAAGAGACCAAGTCAAATTACTTCGTCATCAAGTTAGTTATTGGTTAGTTATTGGTGATAAGACCTCCTACTATTTATTTCTATCGCCAAGATTCATTGTGATTGTCCTATATATATAGAGGCATTTATTGATGTAATTCTTATCCAAAACTAGTGAAGATGTAGTCAGTTGGGCATTGGATCCGTGGAAGTAAGGCTTCGGCCTGAACCACGTAAATATTGTGTCCTCTCTTCTTTTCTCTCCATTCTCCATTCAATGCATGTATGCTCCCATGAATCTTAACAAAGAGTTCACAGTAGTACATGATTTTGGTGCATTGTCAGTCATTCTTTGTGAGTAATTCCTTGTATTTTGTTTCTCTGCAAATTCCTGTTTTCAATTTCTTTTTTTTGTGTTTTTTATGTGACAATGTGCTGTTTTATAAATTATGTTAGTCTAGTCTAACAGTTACTGATCCATGGCTGTGAAGAACTGCAATTGCTCACTTTCTTTCCAATTACTACGAGTTGCAAAAAATGCTATTTTATTGATGGGAATTAGGACATTTATACATCTATAAAAAGATAAAATAAATTCTGGTTGGTTTTCTTTATGGCAACGTGTATGCAAATTGCTTGAATTGGTTACCAAGTTTTTGCGGCAGCATGTCATTCTTTGATCAAAAGTTATTGAATTGGGGTAAAAGAGATGCTTTAGATTCTTTGGTTTTTACTTCACTTACTGTAACTAACCCACCACAAAAAAGAAAATATATATAGGATGGATGTCTTGTTGGACACAACATTGCATATTTTATACAACTTGTTAGAGTCTCTGCATTGTATTTGTTTGTTCCTTTGGTCTTGGGTTTGGCATTTTATGTAATTATTTTAATGAAGACATAGGTATGGGGATTTTGACTATCTCCAAACCTAACACTCTACTCATGGATATGTGCTTATAGTTCTGGTATCTATTAAAAATAAGGACATTTTGTATGTATTCTCATTCATTGATGGGAAAGGTTCAACAAATATTGTGAGTTTTTGTTTCGGTGAATGAGCATTTGCTGTTTTGCATCTTGTGAGTTTAAATGGGCTTCCAATGGTACCTAAAGAATGTGGCTCCTTGAAATTTCCTCTGTGCTGATAATTCCCTGGGAAGGCTGATTATTTCTTTGCTACTAATGGTTTGTTTGATATGAACATGGTCATGGTTTTGGTTCTTCTTCTTATGTGAAATTGGTTTGATTGGTGTCATGTGGACCTTGTTTTGGTTTGAGATTTTAGCTATGAAGGCTTCTATTGAGAATTCAAACTTATTTGAATGATAGGTATTGATCTAGGTGATACTGTATTGGAAAATTTGAATATTTTTGGGAAGAATATTCTTTGAGATGCATGAATATATGTTTAAGACATTTGATTGCATTGATTACGCTTTCTAGTGTCATGTACTATTTTTGTTCGACTTATCTTGTCAAAATTCACAACAATCGAAATAAATTGAAATCCAAAGCACTTCTAGAATTCTTTGAATGCAATTAGGTTTCACCTTAAAAAAAAAGGTATCATGATACTCTTGAGTCTTAACTGTGAATGAGTAGAGGTTGGTAGTTTTTTGGTGGCATTGTTTGGTTGTTCTTTGGCTGCATTGGGAAATAGTTTTATAAATATAGATAAGTGATGTACTAGATTCTTCAATATATGAATGGGTGCTTCAGTATACAAAGGGGCCATCAAATGAAATAGTAAATCGAGTAGATGAGTGGCTAAAAAATTGTGTTGGTTGTTCTTTGGGATGCAATTAGAGATTAGGAATGTCATAATTATATCCTTCATACATCATATATCTTCCCCATATCACTAAAAAATCAATAAACGGTTCAAATTGGGTTGACATGTCTCCATTCAAAAGTTCTAGGGTGAATCAAACACATGTACCCATAACTTCTTCAACATTTTAGCATGTAATCAAACATAAGTACCCAGAACTTCCTTAACATTCCAGCAGGTTATCAAACACAGTACCCAGAACTTATTCTGAATATGCGCGTAAATTTCTCCAAAATATATTTTGAATAGGAGAAAATGGATATTGTGTATATTCCGACTAGGAGAAAATGGATATTGTGCTCCTGTGGGAGCAGCAAATATTTCGAGAAGTAATTACTTTGTGAAGGGTAAATTCGTTGAGTAAGTCCTTGAAACATATGTCCCACGCAACTGTTTTATCTCTCTCTAAAGGGCCTCTGTTTTGTTGGTAACGTTTCTCTCTCTCTCTAAGTGCCTCTCTGTTTTGTTGGGTGAAGGCCTCTCTCTCTCTCTCTCTCTTCTCTTCTCTCTTTCTCAGCTATAGTCCTCCCTCACTCGAGCTCTTCTTTTCAAGCTAGAAGGAGGGTGTTCTCTCTCCCTCTCTCTGCCACCAGTAGTTGCTGTGCAGAACGACCCCTATTTCCTAGTATGTCTGTC